GGACTGGCAAAGGGGAAGGGACTCCAACCCATTTATATGAGGGGGTGCGGGAGTGGAGTTCCCGCCAAAAATGTTACTGAGAATCTTCCCAAATACAGACACTGCACAGGGGCAGCACCCATATGTGTAATGCACAGAGACCACAGCAAAGAACCTCCCCTTTCAGAGTGTTTGGATTTTTTGCCATGTGTTCCTCCTCCTTTTCACAGAGTGGATTTCCTTTGTCTCTGACTCCTGCTCTTGGGGAACCACAGGACTTCTACTAAAGGTCCTGGCTCCTTGTGCTCTAAAGGAGGACAGTCATCTGTAGCCATGACCCTTCTGTCTGATTGTGGCTGGAGCTCACTGCCCTGGCCTTCTTCATCTGAGGAATCCTCCTCCAGGTAGGACATGACAATAATGTTTAAACTGTCTTACAGCATACTTGTTCTTCCTACAAGTCTGGAGGGAGGGAACTGAAATTCATTTGAGACTATTCTAAGCTGTGTTCTCTATGCTAAGAAGTGCAAACAAAAAAAGCATGTGTACAGCCCTGTACAGCAAGCACACATACTCCTTCCTTCATGTTAGGAAATGAGATTCTAAATCTGAAGGTATGTAAAAACACTGAGTAACATCTCTGCCTGCCCACCGCACCCTCCAGTTTCTCTACAGAGAAGAACGCAGAAATAACCTTTCCCCATATGGCTGATAGTGTGCCATTTTACAGTGCATATGCATTGGCTCCACAAACATAGGTTTTAATATTTAAAATTTACATTAAATTAGTATTCATTTTGGTCTCACAGCACTACACCTTTATACAAATGCTAACTTATTTTAACATAAAATTTCAGACATAGCTAGCAAAACCAAGATTTGTTTTCCAGGGAAGGCATACATAATTTTACAAATTAAGTGAGGTGTAACTGGATGCTATGCTGTGCTCTAGCACTCTGTTACCGATTCTGCCATGCTTCTTTTTTCTTTCCCATTAATTTACAATTTAACTTTGTTAAATGAAAATTAATGAAACTTTACTACCCGCTAAATTCCCCACCCCTAGAAGATTAAAAAAAAATCCACATAGATTTTTTTTCTTTTTTATAACCATGTGCATGCATGCACATAGAGAAAACATACATTTTGAAGAGTTAGATGCTAGGTGGGATGGCTTCTCTCTCTCTCTCTCTCTCTCTCTCTCACACACACACACACACACACTTATGCAGTGGTACTAAGCTAGAGCAAAGCCTTCCTAAAATAAAGAGTTAGGATTAGCTACATGCTACCGAGTTATTGCAGCATGTAGTGGACTCCTCCATTTCCACTTTTTAAAAAGGAACAATATATTCCAATGCCCACTTTATTTCAATTCCTTCAATAGTTTTTCAGTGACCGACCAAATAGCTGTATGAAACATTATTACAGTTGCAAGAAAGACTTAAGGTTTTATGTGTATGTAATATCAAAAAAAAGTTTAATCAAATACTAATACATTGGGCAGGACCAAACATTTAGCGCAAAATTGATTTAGAAGTTTAGTGCCTAGGGCCCAAGTACCAACACATTAATTTACGATTCTCCCAGTCTCACTCCAGGGCTCTTGTCATGGTAGTGATCAGGCCATCCAGCAATAGCCCTCTATCTATCTATCTATCTATCTATCTATCTATCTATCTATTTGGGTACCCTTTTCAATACCCAGTGGGTCTCTGGACAGCTTACAATTCAAATCCAATAAATACATATTTGTTTTTCGGTGCCAGGCTAAGACCTTTTTATTTAAAACTTATTTTAATTTTATTGTATTTATTAGGATTTTAAATTAGCCGAGAATGCACTGGGGGCTTTTAAATGTTTATATAGATATAGATATAGATATATATTTTTTGTGAGCCACCCCAAGGCTTTGTTGCGATGGGGGCGGCATAGAAATGTTTTAAATAAATAAATAAATAAATAAATACCCAAATAATATAAACAACCCATGAACTGAGCATAAAAACATAGTTAAAATTAAACATTAAACATTAGTTCACTGGATGTATCCCTCTGCCTGTCATTCTCTCTGCCACCACCATTAGCTAATGCAAGCTAAAACAAGCTGGTATCTTCCAGCTCTCAAGGTGCTCCCTGTTGCCACTGGCTAAGCAATCACTTTGTCTTCTCTTCCCTTCCTCTTTGACTTATATGGTAAATATACTCCAAAAAGTCTAGGCTACATTAGAGTTAAAAACAGCCCTTGAACTTGTAAACAGAAATCTAAAACCAACCCAATAAAATCAAATGATAAAGTATGTATACACCCAAAGGAGAAAAAAAAGCTACATTCCCGATTTACTTTCAAGTCTATGTTGTATAATCTAATGGAACACCAGTCTTACTTCAGCATCAATGAAATGCCTCATGTTGAGCAAGGATGGAAAAAGAGGGACAACATAACACGGCACTATTGTGTTTTATTCTGTTTGACTGAAGTAATATTGATGACAGCAACAATCACACTGGCCAATGGTACAGGTTCAAACATATACAGGATGGGATCAAGGAAAAGGGCAGTCAGTACCTAGGTTTACTGTAAAAAAGCAAAAATTGGCAAAAGGGGGGCTGATCCTTTTCCTGCCAGCCTACTTTGGGTATTTCAGAACTGCAAGTTGGGACATGGCTAAAATGATGCTCCAAAATGGAGGCTGGTATTTCAGCCATTATCTGGAAAGCTGGAACCAGTAGACAAGAACATACTAGTCTTATAACAACTACACTGGCTACCAATTGAAGTCTGGGCCTGATTTAAGGTACTAACAGTAGTATATCAAATCCTAAATAGTTTATGGCCTAGTTATATAAGGGAACATTTCCTTCCATACAAGCTTGACCAGATCCTAAGGTCATCTGCAGAGGTCTATGAGAGCCCTCCCTGAAAGAAGTGAGGAGGGCTGTTATGAGGAGGAGGGCCTATTCCTTGATAGCGCCTCGATTATAGAACTCACTCCCCAGAGAGGTATTCCTGACATGGACACTTTATTTGTTCTGGCGCCAGGACAAAACCTTTTTATTTTCCCAGTTTAATTGCTAAATGGTATTTTAATTAGTTTCATCATGTACTGGCACTTAGGAGTTCTTAAATGTTTTATCATAATAATTATTTTAATATTTTTCCTCTGTGTAAACCATCTTGAGATTTTGTAATGAACTGATGGTATATTAAAGCTATAGATACATAGATAGATAGTCAGCATTTGAATCAGAGACATCTTGACACCCATCACCAAATGATCCTGGTGACCCTGGAAAGGAATTAACCTTGCTCCCAGGTTCCTGAGATTTACATTCTAGAAGATGACAGTCTGCTGCAATTTTAATCTAATGGGAAAGAGTTCAGGATCTCTTCTCAATCATCCTGCAGTGCAGAACATAAAATAATGGACTCAAGTTACAGAAAGCTGAATTTTGGCTGACCATCAGGAATAACTTCCTGACTGCTAGAGCAGTATGACAATGAAACCAATCACCTAGGAAGGTTGTAGACTCTCCTACACTAGAGGCATTCAAGATGCAGCTAACAGGCAAGGATGAGTCCTGAACTGAGCAGAAGGCTGGACATGATGGCCTTCTTGACCTCTTCCAACTCTACTATTCTATGATTCACTTGGAAAAGCAAAACATATTAATACAATATTTCAATGTGGCACAGACAAGGACTGACAAGTGCATTGACCGTAACTAGCAATATCATAGATAGTATCTGATAGGTGCCTGGCACATTCATGTACCCCCCCCCCCCCACACACACACACAGGAAAGCTTAAGTGCAATGTATGCACTTAGCAGGGAAGCACTATTTTCTTTGGATCTCTCATTAACATTTGAGTGACAGCGATACACTCCCTACATTCATTTGACTCAAACCAACAAACAGAATGATCACAATGGAATTAATATGCTCTGGCTCCATATTAATGTCAGAGCACATTAGATGTAGGACTTAAATGTCCTCAGATCACAAACTTTAAGCAAAAAAAAATCCTCAAAACTCACAGTGTCTCATCCTATGAAATGAAAAATTGTTTATTTTCCTTATGCCAAACACTAACAATCAATATTACAACAAATTCTGGGGCAAATCTAATTCTTGCACTGAGAAGAACAATTTTACAAGTTTTTAAACAAATAATCCTGAGCCTTAAACATGCACTGCAGAAGTAACACTGCTAACGCTACTGAAAATGTCATCCCTTCCCACAGACTTACTCTTCCCCAATTATCATTTCTAGGCACAAGCCTCACTGGGTACATTAAACCCCATGCCCAGTAAGAGATGAAAATAGTCTGTTTCATTGAAGTGACTGGTGAGAACATCTCATGCAGAACTCCTGGTGGGAATATCTCATACACACCTCTGAAAATCACAAACCATTGCTTTTTCAATAGAACTGCACCATATTTATTTAGTTAATGAATTTATATGCTGCTACAATAGCCCATAACTGGGTTCTCTGCATGACTCGCAACATATAACTACACAGACACAATTTATTGTGTTAATTTATTATTTTTATAACCTGCCTCTTCCCTCCAAGTAACTTAGCTTAGTTCACATAATCCTTCTGTCCATTTTAACCTTCCAGCAACCTTGGGTTTAGAGTCAGTGATTGGTCAAGAGTCACTCAGGGGCTCCAAGACTGGATGGGGGTTAAAATACAGATCTCCTAGGTCTCAGTCAAACATTCTAACTATTATGCCACACAGTATCAAATAAAATAGATTTTAAAAGGGTATTATCTGAAAAAGAATTTTCTATGTGCTTTTTGCAAAAAGTACACATGGAGAATTTCATTAAGTTTTTCGTTTGTGATAACATAGCAGCTACAAAAGGTCAGATTAGATTTACATCATAATTTTATCTATTTTCACATTCTGTATTCTGTAAATAACATAAGTAGAAATATGTAAAAGCATAAAGGATAGAAGAATTATATACAATGCTGTACAAGTTGAATATATGGATTTGAACTTACTATTGAGAGCCATAATGTTATCTGTTCCTGGATGATGAAAATTTATACCCATACGACCTAAAAATGAAATCAGACATTTTGTTATTATGCTGTATGTACATTAGTTGCAAATTCTAATATTGAAGAATAGTCTAAGTAAAAAAAGAATGACATTAATGGAAAAAGTATGCCATTAATGCTCTTTTCTAAAGCTCTTCAAAATATGTAATAATAATTTTGTATTATGTGTACTAAAGATAAACCAAGTGTCACAAACATCACAAAAATCAAACAAGGAGAGAATGGAACAACTTTGCAAATATTTTGCCCATCTCTTTTTAATTAGTTCAATAAAATTTAATGTTTGTTTCAACTCAGACTTTATATATTGTGATTTTTATTGTGATAGATCACACATTTTAAATATACAACTGTGGCCTGTTAATTGATGTTGTAAGTAAAATCATGAGCTCTAGAAAGGCACGTTTATTTCTCTGAAGGTTGAGGTAGTTTGGAGAAATGAAATGTATTGCTATCAGAATGAACTACAAATAAAAAATTCCCAGATTTGAATCTTGGGTACTATGAACTCAGAAGGTAGACTTATGTCTGTCCTCAGCTTGATCTTTCTCTCTATAATACAAGGAAGACAGTATTCATGTTACTGATTGGTTTTTATAGATTTAAACAAGATCATGAGTGCAAAGTGCTTTGTACACTCTGAAATGCTATATAAATAAAATACACTGTTATGGTCACCGCACCCTGCCATGCATTCACAAATAGCAGAGAACTACTGTAAGAGCACAGGATACATCTTTGTGAGCTAATAACTTTTTATGAACTTATATGCAATGCTGACCATGTAAGAGCCAGGAATTAAGGCAACCATAAGTGCCTGATCCCCGTATTTGGAAAACTGATTTTTGGTTTAGTGACACAGTTGAAACTAGATACAAGTATGCTGGTTTCAATCACTTGTAAGAGGGATATATTAGGAATTTTATTTCTAAAAGAGCAGTTGTGAATATCAACAGAAGCTCTTGCCAGTGAAATGTTCCAAATGTAACCATGTTTTGTGGATTCAGTTTTGCATATTTAAGTGTTTAATGCTCTGTAAAGCACTTATACAGCTTAAGCCAATAGTTAGTATAGACATGTGTGAAGGAAGGTCTCCTTCTACATTCACCTGCTCAGACCTTAAGATCATCTGCCAAGGCCTTTCTCCAGGAGACCTCATTGAAAAAGGCTAGAAGAATGGCTGGCTACTAGGCAAAGTGCCTTCTCAGTGTAGCGCCCGGACTGTGGAAACTGTATTCCAGAGAGGTGTACCTTGTGCTGACTATTCTTTTCTGTACCAGGCCAAAACCATTTTATTAGCCTAATATTTAATATTTAGAATACTTTTATTACATATTGTTGATTATTTTATTCAAGTGCTGTTGTGGATTTTGCTGTACTTGTTGCTTTCATTTTACTCTTTATGTAAGCCATCCAGAGATCCTGTCAGGGTATAAATGTTTTAAATAAATAAATATAATAAATGATGCTAATAATAATAAACAACTCATTAATTGGTGGAGCTGTGTAGCAGCTGCTTGATACTTCCACTTGGCCAAAGGAATGCCCTTTTCTGAGTTTTTAGTTATGACTCCTCAACTAAGCGGTTGGGGGTTTAACAGCCCAGATTTTTAACTCAACAAACCATGTATTCAAATTCTAAGTAGTTTTAATACTCTGCAACCAGAATGCTAGTTTCAGATGTTGTGACCCAAGAGCTGGGACTTCCTAGATTATTCAGCAAAGCTGAAGCAGCCGTTAAGTGGGAGGACAAATTTACCACTCCATAGTTTAAAACAACTCACAAGCTTGTTAAGTGAGAACCAGGCTATAATCTTACCTTTTTTAACATTCAACACAAAATTAGCAAAATCATCCATACAGAGTTACATAAACTTTGAAGTGCAGACTCTAATAAAGCAAACAATTTAGGTAGAATAGCAGGTATTACTGTGTTTTGCACTTTCCAACAACTCAGCTGCCTTACAAGGTAACCCAAAAAGGACAGAGTTTGCAAAAGGACCATGCTGGAAAGTGTTTCTTCTCTGTATTATAAAAAACATAGGCCAGTGTCTTTAAAAACTTCAGGCAGTGTGGAAATTTAATTTTTTAAATGAGTTACAGCCTTTATTTGAAGTTGGAAAGTCAAAAGGGGAAACCACTACCCAATTACCTACTTCACATTCTTTCAAGGAATATCTAACAAGCAAATTGAATCTTGATCTCCCATTGTGAAAAGGCAGAGCTAGTCCTGAACTTAAGAAAAAAAACTTCTTGGCTGATGGTGAACGACAGTTTTATGTAATTTAGGAAGTAGGCATAGCCATACTTCCTCCCTGGAAAAAACAGCTGGATGTGGAAGGGAGGCACCTCTAACCTATAAATGGATTATTCCTTCCAAAGGTAAGAAGGGAAAGAGAATAGAGCTATTGTAAAGCAGGAACTCATAAACTATCAAAGTTGCAAGTTTGCTTTTGCTGCTAGTAGTTTTGCAAATGTGTACATCATTTTTAACTGATGAAACAGAATAAAATCAGACTATTTGTATAATTTCTGGTCTTAAATCTAGCAGAACTTCAGATCACCCACTACCCATCTCTTAATTAATCTGTAATCACCAAATAATTAGTTGCATTTCAACAGGGAGGAAAAATATTGTAAAGCATATTTCCTGACATATGCCAACCAAAATAGTTATCAGCATAATGTCTGAATGGTAAGTTTTCTAACAATTAAAATCATTTTATAATTTGTTATGAATTAATAGGTGGTCATGCTATGAACTGGAGTTCTGTATGCATATTTAATATTCGTTCTTGCCTTTGCCAAAGCTGGAACTGTGCTGCACTGTGCTATTCAACCAAATACAAAAATAGAATCAAATGTGTGACATGAGGAGGGGTGGTGTTCATTCAATCACTGTGCCAGGTGGTGCCTGCATGACATTTTGTCACCTGCCCTTGGCTTTCTATTTTAAAGTTGCTCTTGACAACTACTTTCCCCAAAAAATAAGAATCTCTAAATGTATGAGGAGACATACACATTTTATTACATTACTAAGAGACCTAAGCAGGAAGGAGCTCATAGTTTTAATCTTAAACTCTTTTCACTGAACAAATTAAAAACCATATACTGACCACTGCATCAGCATCATTTTTAAAAAATATCTCAAGAAGAGCAGGTTGCTTACCTGTAACTGATGTTCTTCGAGTAGCCATCTGTGCAGTCACACATATGGGATCTGCACCTGCGCAGTGCCTTTGGCTGGAAGATTAACAGCTAACGGTTTGGCAGGAAACTCCGCTCCCCCTCCCCCCTAGTAGTATATAAGGAGCGGAGTGTCCACCATTTTCCAGTCTTTGTTCACTCCCTAACAAAAATTGTAAAAAGAACTAAAGTAACAGGAAAATTTTTGTCAGTATGGAATAAAACAAAACCTCTCAGTGGTACAACAAGCAGAGAAAATAGCTCGGTACTGAGAAAAAAAAAAGTCGGACCACCCATGACACCAAGCGGGGCCGGTGGGTGGGTTGTGTGATGTGTGACTGCACAGGTGGCCACTTGAAGAATATCAGTTACAGGTAAGCAACCTGCTCCTTTGTCGTGGCCTCTGTGCATCACACATATGGGTAGAATAACAAGCTTACTCGAAATGGCGGAGGGAGGTGTCATCAACGAAGAATAGATGAAAGAACAGCTCTGCTGAAAGAACAGTCCTGTCTAGCACGAACATCCAATCTATAATGTCTTGCAAAAGTACATGGAGTAGCCCAGGTGGCAGCTCTGCAGACATCCTCAATCAGGACTCCTGACGCGAAGGTTGAAGAGGCAGCTACAGCCCTAGTGGAGTGGCCCCTTGGAGTTGTCGGTAAGTCTATCTTGGTTAACTGATAATACAGAGTAATAGTGTTAACTATCCATTTAGACAGTCTCTGAGGAGTAACGGGGAAGCCTTGGTTTTGTTCCAAATATTTAATGAAGAGTCTATTAGAGTGACGAAAAGACTCAGTCCTTGATCTGTAAAAAGCTAGGCAATGATGAACATCTAGCATATGCAGAGACCTCTCGACTGGATTTGAAGGAGTCGGAAAAAATGCAGGCAAGATAATTTCCTGATCCATGTGGAAAGAGGTAGCCACCTTTGGGAGAAAAGATGGATACATTCTTAACACTACCTTCTCCTTGTGAAAATTCAAAAATGGAGGATCTACTCTGAGGGCACAGAGTTCACCAGATCTACGGGCTGAAGTAACTGGTATAAGAAAGGCAGTTTTCCAAGAGACAAGACGTAGATCAGTTGTTGCCAGGGGCTCAAAAGGAGGCCGTGTTAGTGCCTGTAGTACCACTGAGAGACTCCAAGTGGGCATAAACGGCCTAATTGTTGGATGGAGATTGGAGTCCTTTGAGGAATCTCTTAATCAGTGGCTGAGAGAAAATGGAAAACCCTTGCACAGTCCCGCAGTAATAGGAGATTGCCGCCATATACACTTTTATGGAGGAAGGTTTAAGACCAGAACAGTGAAGCTCGAAGAGGAACTGGAGGATCTGATCTATAGATGCAGAGGGCGCTGAAAACGAATGAGATTTGGCAAAACTAGAGAATCTACACCACTTTGCCGCATATGATTTTCAAGTGGATGGTCTTAATGCAGAGTTGAGAATATATTGTACATCAGGATGCAAAGCTTGCGAATCCGACAGCATATCCACTGGATCCGATGAGGCAGAGGCGGTAGGCAAATTCACAGCATGGACCTGTGTGTTGGTGGTAGGAATGGAATGAGTAAGGACTGCAGATGGGATCGGTACTGTGCCAGCGTTCAATGTTATCGAATTCACTAGGCGGTCAGTTTCAGCGACGGTAAGTCCGGGTGTGGGATCGAGCCCTCCCGCTGAGTTATAAGATAAGGGATGGGAGGAAGTTGAAGGTACTCCTCCCGAGAAATACAAAGAAGTGTCGAGAACCATGGCTGGCGTGGCCACCAAGGAGTTATCAGTAGCCCTGTGGCCCCGTCGTGAATCACCTTTGCTAGTACTCTCACGATGAGGGGAATCGGAGGGAAAGCATAAAAGGTCATATCGCTCCAGGGAATCATGAAGGCATCCCCGGACGACCCCTGCCTGATTCCCGCTCTTGAACAAAAATTCTCTCACACCCTGTTTTGTCGGGTGGCAAACAGGTCTATATCTGGGAGGCCCCATCACTGGAATAGCCTGTTGCAAATCTGGCAGCCCAGTTCCCATTCATGTGACTGTGACATATGTCTGCTCAAGAGATCTGCTTTCACATTGTCTGTGCCCGCGAGATGTACTGCAATAAGAGTGATGCCTCTCGGTATGCACCACTCCCAGATTCGCATCGACAAACGAGCTAATTTTGGGGACCTTGTCCCCCCTTGTTTGTTTAAGTAAAAAACTGTGGCTATGTTGTCCGAGGTTACCTGGACAACCTGCCGGTGAAGCACGTCCTTGAATGACTGTAGTGCTTTGAACACAGAGAGAAGTTCCAGAAAGTTGATATGGTTCCTGGAGTCCTGACAGTTCCAAACCCCCTGGGTGCGTAGACCGGAGCACAAGGCTCCCCATCCCAGAAGGGATGCGTCGGTACCGAGAGTCACTGTCGGATACTGAGGCCAAAACGGGACTCCGATGTTTAGGTTGCTTGACTCTGTCCACCATAATAGAGACTGAAGAACAGAGGACGGGAGTCGAATCCGCTTCATAGGCAGATCCCTTTGTGGTCAAAACCTCCCGTTGAAGGACAATTGGAGGGGACGCAGCTGGAGTTTGGCATGTGGGACTACGGTGATGGACGCTGCCATATGTCCCAACAGTCTTTGAACAGATCGGGCAGGAACAATTCCTTCTCGTCGAATTTGGCAAATGTGTCGAGCGATAGCATGTTGTCTGTTTCGAGGGAGGAAGGCCTTTACCACCGTAGAATCCAGTCGGGCTCCAATAAAGTTGATCGTCTGTGTAGGGAGAAGATTTCTGATGATTAATGCAGAGTCCAAGGTCTTGCAATAAGTTACAGGTCATATTTACAGCGGAGCTAAGTCCTTCCCTAGTCCAGGAAACCAACAGCCAATCATTGAGGTATGGGTATATCTGAATTCCACGCAGTTGAAGGTATGCACATACGGGAGCCATACACTTCATGAAGACCCTCGGTGCGGTGGCCAGTTCAAATGGCACCACCTTGAATTCATAGATTTCAGAGGCTACCACAAAATGGAGGAAGCACCTATGTCAAAGATGTATCAAATATGAAAATAGGCATCCTTCAAGTCCAGCGAGGCGAACCAATCCCCTCTCCCCAGCAATGGGAGGATATTTTAAAGTGTGGTCATCTGAAACTTCTTTGGTGTTATAAATTTATTGAGAGCTCTCAAGTCCAATATCAGCCGAAGCCCTCCATCTCGTTTCGGAACCTAGAATAGAATCCGTGGAGTCCTTCTGATGAAGATAAGCAACAAACGGCTCCTTTGGACGGGAGTTGGTAAATTTTGTCTAACAATACCGGGGAGCATGGCGTAAACCAGATAGGACTCAATGATGGAGCAACGTCGAATTCAATTCTGTATTGGTGCTGGATGATGGATAACATCCACCCATCAGATGTAATGGACTCCCAAACAGGGAGTCGGCTTTTCAGTCGGTCCCCAAATGAGAGGGGGGAGGGTGGGGTTGGAAGGGAAGGTTTGCCCATCCCATCAGCGCTGGCGTTTATCTCCGTCGAAGCAGTGGTGGCTTTGCTGGAAACGCTGAGGCAGTTGCTTGCGGTGCTGCTGGCGATGCTGTGGCTGTTGGCGGGGTGGATATTGCTGCCTATACTGAGGCCAAGTCCACGACCACTTATGTTGAGGGGGCGGTTGTAGTTCCATGCGCCGGGCAGTCATCTTCGACTCGTGGATCCTCTTCAACTTGTGACCGGTTCTAGCTTTGAAGAGGCTGGATCCATCAAAGGGCATCTCCACAATCCTCCTTTTCACCTCCTCGGGAAAGTTGCAGTTACGCAACCATGCGTGTCTCCGAAGAGAGATGGCGCCGACGAGAGCCCTCGAGTCCGTATCCACGTGGTGTCTGGTGGTGGATAGTTGTTGCACGGTGACCTGCATTGCCTCCTTTACGAACACCCTCGCTACGTCGCCTTGATTATCAGGGAGGATGGCAATGATGTTGTCCAGGCACTGCATTATAAAGTATTGATAACGCGCCAGGGTCGCCTCATAGTTAGAGATTCTTAGGCCCAGACCTGAACCGCATAGACCTGGCGCGAGAAGGAGTTGATCTTTCTTCCCTCTTTGTCCTGGGGCGCTGTATGACCCTGTGCCTCCCAACCCTGAGACAATTCTACCACCACCGAATTTGGCTTGGGGTTGCGGAGGAAGAATGGAATGTTCCCTTCATGGACTCGATACATCGCCTCATATTTTCTAGAGGTCGGTTGAGACTGTGCCGGAAGGTCCCACGGTTGGTCATCGCTTGTCGGAGGGTCGTAATAAGTGGCAAAGCGATGGAGGTCCATTGTTCTCCCCGCATGACATCATAGAAACGATCAGTGCTAGGCCCCGGTTGTTGGCTCGCTTCAATCTCCAATGACTTCACCAGCCTGGACATCAGTTCGGCAAACGTGATGTGCGGCTCTTCAGGTGATGCCGGACCTTGTGAAGTGACTGCAGCATCAGGTGAAGTTGAATCGACCTTGGACTCATCCGAGTCCACCCAATATGGAGGCGGGACGCTGGAGGAGGAACCCCCTGGTGACTGGGATCTCTCGCTTTCCTGAGACGGTGCATGCCCGGTGCCCCTCGAAGCCGTAGAATGGGGCTGATCCCAATGTTCAGTTGTGGGGGATCAAGCTCTAGCAGCTGGGTAGTATCTGACGGATGGATAGTCGGACCATCTCAGTGCAGACGAGTACCAGGAATGGTACCAGTCATCAGAGCGGGGTTCCGAAGAGCAGCTCCTCCGATCTCTTGGTGGGGACAATCCAGTACCCAGGTCGAACCCAACAGGTGGCATAGGAGTTGGAGTTCGAGCCTTCGGCGGAGAGTCTTGGATTTCACCATCAGAGATCGAACCGCGAGGTGGATCTTGGTTTAGCTCCAATCCCATACGATGCAGGGAGGCTGGAGGGGTGACTCCCATCGCCGCTTGAATAGTTGGACCCGATGGTGTCGGTACTGGGGCTGCAGTTGGAACCGAAGAGGCCACCGAACCCAAACGTCGATGTTTCAAATGCTCAGGCCTCTTCGGTTTCTTTGCCGATTTCTCGGCCTTATCTTTCTTGGCTCTTTTGTGCACAGCCGGATTCTCAAGAGCACTGTGCTTCCTCTTTTCCTTCTGTTTCTTGGGCGGAGAAACAGGCCACTCCCCAATGGCGGAAGCACCTTCGCCCAAAGGGCGTAAGGGTGGAGCAGTAGAGGAAGGGGCTGGACGTTGCGGTGGTTCAGTAGAGGCTGGATGGTGGTCTGGTAGGGCCGAGGTTGTAGAGGGCTTAGCCACCAGCCGGTCAGATTGTAGGAGGGCCTGGTCCCACAGGAGTTTCCGTAAACAGTTCTCCCTGTTCTTCCTGGCCTGTTTCGAGAAGGCCAGGCAATGGACACACTTGTCTGTCCTGTGGCCCTCCCCCAAACAAAGGAGGCACAGGTCGTGCGAGTCCACAGAGGGCATTTTAGAGCCACACTCTCCGCACTTGCGGAACGCCGCTCATTGAGCCATCGCGGAAAAAGAAGAAAAGAAGAAAGTAAAGTAGGAATAGATAATATTTTGTTCTTTTTTTAATAGGAACGAGAAACAAGCAAAAAACGAGAGAAAAAATGAAGAGAATAACTAGAGTAATGCGTTAAGGTAAGAAGAGAATACTAACTTGGAAGGAACAAGAGAAAAAGATTCGAACAAGAGAGCACAAGGCACAATCTAAGCGAGAGCGAAGTGGCATGAGGCACAACAAACAGCAGTCGCAAAGACTGGAAAATGGCGGACACTCCGCTCCTTATATACTACTGGGGGGAGGGGGAGCAGAGTTTCCCACCAAACCGTTAGCTGTTAATCTTCCGGCCAAAGGCTCTGCGAGGCACAGAACCCATATGTGTGATGCACAGAGGCCACGACGAAGAATGTATAAAACCCAGAGCATTTTCTATTTTGATTTAGCTGAGAACTCACACATTTTTAAGGAAACTGTACTTAATAAAAAAAACTAGGTGGTGACTGACTGAAACCAACACATACACAACCTTGTTTTCTGGTTGGTATTATTAGTTTCAAGTTTGAAGTGGTTAAGGGAAATATAGCTTTACATATATCACATTAAAGTTTTCTTATCCCTTATTCAGCTGGCAAGTTATGATTGGAAAGTGTTGCCCAGCCCATGACCTGATACATGACCTCTACACTCCCACTTCATTCCAACTCTTCTAATTAGGTACAGTATTCTCTGTTTTTCTGGCAAGTGCAGTGGCATTTCCTAACTGAGAAAGCACAGCAGGGAGCTATATCTACACCATCTGTATTCTCTCTCTTCTGTCTCTCTCAGTGGTGGGCCTGCATGTAAGCAACTCTGAAAACAATTAGGGAAGTGCTCAATTAGGATACTAGATATACAAACTTAAAAAGAAAAAGAAAACACCATTAAAAGACATGAAGAAAGGTAAGTAGAAGGAAAAAGTAAAGGACAGAGATCCATTTGACACCAGAAGAAACTGGTGAATTGAAAATAAGCATTTCTTTATCAACTTGCTGCCTAATCTTCCTTTGCTAGTGGTTTTAAGGGGATGGAGATGTTGCTGCAAACTAATCCAACAGCACTTGTTTCTCTTGCCAATGAAAAAATGTGTTTAAATTTGCTTTACAGACCCAGGGCAGCAGGCAGTTGGAGAATAATCTTCTGGGATAATTACATAGACTTTTTTTTCTTATACACAGAGAAAGCATATCCTTCTAGTATGTTGAAGAAATGATAAGTCAGCAATGATAGCATATTCATTAAATGTAAAAGGATATGTAGTATGACAGGAAAGACTTAGATTGGAATTGAGAATATTACAGGTGTCCTTGGAGTACTTCATTCAGTTAGTAAGTGGTCATACTACAAATTACAGTTCTGAATACATATTTTAAATTCCTCCTTTCCTTTGCTAAAGATGGAACAGTACTATTCAATCAGATGTCAATATTGTTCTGCTAAGCAAGAATTCAAATCTAAGTATCAGGCTGAGTTTATTTTAACAAGCCAATTTAAAGTGGTATGTCTGCATACACCAGTTGCTGAGAAGCTCAGGCAGGTGAAGGTTTTGCACCCATCCTAATTGAGCGATCCTGTGGGCAGCTGATTTGCCACTGTTTGTACAGAATGCTGGACCAGATGGACCTTTGGTCTGAATCAGCATGGCTTTTCTTATGGTCAGAGCATGTTACTGTGCTTAGAAGCCTCAGATGATCATTAGGTCCATTTGAAGAATTACTTAGGGGGAAAATACTTTTTTAAAATAACATCTTCTATCTTCTTCAACATAAGCACAGCAATTTACATCAGGAGAAGTCACAGTAGTGACATCATAATCTCTAGACTCAAAGCATAATTCTTTACTTTGAGGTACCAATATGCAAGTAAACTATTTTATATGCATCCCATTTCACATAAAGAGAAAAGGCTAAAACCCTACTTCATATTTACCTTACTTGGAAGAGTCAAAGCATAAAAGGAAGAAATCATACACAATGATATGAAAAAAGTTGCAGTTGTTAAGAAAGTGTCTAGTCACAAGACTTTATATAGCCTTGTGGTCCTTTATAGGGCCATAACCATTCTTACCCTATTTCTGAAAGAGCAGAAATTTAGAAGTAGTAGTAAGGAAGAAGAAATTAATGGTCCCAGTGGAGGAGTGCACTGTTTGTTTACACACACGTGTGTGTTTTGTGCTGTTTTTTCTGTTTATTCTTTACGAATAGATAGCACTAGGGACTATCGTTCAGCCCCATGGCCCCACTGATCTTCCTCAAGGCTTTATTTGTCCACTGTGATTTCATTTCAAAAAGTGGATGAAGCCACTTATGTATGAAGAGATGATCCAGAGTTTTGACTTGGGTTTCTTGAGTTCCAGCACTGTATCAATGATACCCAGCTTTTTCTTTCTTTTCTCCTTTCCAACTGACAAGGAAGCTGTACAACAAAGGAAGGCAACATGCTGCCTAGAGACACCAATGTGCCCTTGCTACTTTTTTTGGGGGGGGGGGGTGCCTGGTAAAGTGCCCTATGCTTTCCCACCTTAAAATGTACACACTCCTTCCAGCAGCTGGGATTGTTTAAAAAGAGGTTTCTGTTGTGCTGAAAATGGTCGGTTCAAAGGAGTTTAGTTTCTTAGGACTCAGCCACCATCTCTGCCTTATATTTAGCATTCAGAGTGGATTACTTACTACACCTCTCAAGGCAGCCATTTTGTGATAGTACCGAGAAAAAAATCTCAAATTCACAAATAAGCATAGTTATCTGATGTGTTTTTAAATACAGTGGTGCCTCCTACTTCAAATGACTCTAACGTTGAACGATCCAGAGTTCAACTGTTAAAGTTGAGATAAAATTGCTCTGAAGGTCAAGTGATGCTTCTACATTTGAACTGCAGATGAAGTGAAAAAAGTGCGGTCACAACGTAAACGTAATCTGTTGTGCACCCAAGTCATCTCTTGCTGTGAAACATCTCTTGAATAATACTTGTATGTTTTTGGTGTAGATGTTTTTGCTTTTTTTTTTTGTATATGTGTGTGTGTGTGTGTGTGTGTGTATAAATAAAACCCTCCTCACTAAGGTACAGTAAATGCACCAACATAACATTACTAACTAATTCTAATACATTGGTGCCCCCTGCTTCAAACTTATTTTGATTCAGGAAACCATATTTGCTGTTAAGTTTATTGAAACAGGTATTGTTTAGGGTCTGGGAACAGATTAATTCACTTTCCATGATTTCTAATGGGGAAAATATGTTCGGACTTTGAATGATTCAGAGTTCAAACAGCTTCCTGAAATGAATTAAGTTTGAAGCATGAGGCACCACTGTAATTGTAACAAAGGTTTTCATCTTGTTTCTGCACCTAATTAAGCTGCTAGTTCTTATCTATAAATGGCTTGGAGGGGTGTACGGGGTGATCAGGGAGGGGTAGCACCTCTGGTGTAGGGGCATGTCGTGTCCTCTTAGGGCAGCTCGTCCACCTTTGATCCCCACTTGTCACCCAGCTCTCACCTGTGGCTCCCAGTAGATGTAGCATGCACAGCAGCCACACCCCAGGCAACAGCTTTGACAGGCTGGCCAAACCAGGTTGAGGGTAGCTGTTGGGTCAAGACCTTTGGTGAGATAAGGATTTGTCTGTCCTGAGCATGTGAAGACAGACTCCGGCAGATTGCGCAGATGAGACCTACTAGAATAGGACCATTGGTCATGAAAGTGGTTTCTGCAAGCGTTGTGGTATGCTAAGAGCATGGCAAGACACGAAGACGCCCTGGTCAACCACTGCGCCCAGCCCATCTCCAACCGTCTCGACTTTTGTCCTGCCACTGGAGCAAGATGGAATCTGGGAAGAGAGAGTGAGGCTGACTATGTGCACTTCTCTCTCACTTTAATCCAATCCACATTCAAGTCTTGACACCCCCAAGTCCCATGAACCTCAAAGTCGATGGGCGAGCGACGAAGCAGCAGGTGTGGATACACTGGGAGTTGTAGCCGCGGACCTGTACACAGGCGGCTCAGGTCTAATGGTCTGCTGACCGAAGCAACAGCTGGATTTGGTGTCTACCTGAGTGACTGAGTAGCCCTCTTTAGGACTGCACTGCTAATCTCTGTAGCAAGAGGAAGGGGCTAGAAAAGGTGCCCTAAACATTGTTTGCTTCACAGAACCCTGGCCAGCTTACCACAGCTGGAGGGGATCCCATCTCATGCGGTCGAACAACAAAACTTCAAACAAAATGCAAGGTAACACCACTCACTATTGGCACATGGAACATACGCAAACTTCAAGACAACCCCTCAGCAGATTGACCAGAAAGAAGAACAGCCCTGGTCGCCAGAGAGCTCACAAGATTTAACATTGATATTACGGCCCTGTGTGAAATTCGCCTAGCCAATGAAGGTCAGCTCACAGAAACAGGAGGCAGTTACACATTCTTCTGGTGTGGACGTAGCAGTGACAAACATTGTGAATCTACAGTTGGCTTTGTGGTTAAGAATCATCTTGTCCCCTTACTTGCCAGTCTTCCCAAGGGCATGAATGACCGACTCATGACACTGCATCTCCCACTACTGAGAGGAAAGCAAGCCACACTGATCAGCGCCTACACACCCACAATGATGAAGTAAAGGACAAGTTTTATGAAGATCTCGATGCCCGACTCTCATCCGTGAAGCGCACCGACAGGCTGATTCTACTTGGCGATTTCAACACGAGAGTAGGATCCGATCACTCTGCCTGGGATGGCATCATTGGAAAACATGGAATCGGCAAATGTAACAGCAATGGCCTACTACTACTGAAGACATGTGCGGCTCATGATCTGATCCTCACTAATGCCATCTTCCGCCTGCCCACTCGCAAAAAGACGTCCTGGATGCACCCACGCTCCAAGCACTGGCATCTCATTGATTATGTCATCATGCGGAGGAAAGACAGACAGAATGTAAGGGTGACCAAGGCCATGCCGAGTGCTGACTGTTGGACTGACCACAGACTCATCATCTCCAAATTAAGCCTTCACATCAAGCCAAAGAGACGTTCACAGGGAAACAAAGCTATGATGAAAAAGATCAGTGTCAGTAAACTGAGGAATCCCAACACAGCAGCTTCACTAGCAGAAGATCTTGACAACCAACTTTCAGAGCTGCAATTAGAGGAAAATGCTGAGAAGGACTGGGAACACTTCTGGGATATTGTGCACTCTTCTGCACTAAAGGTTCTTGGACCCTCACACAGGAAACAGCAGGACTGGTTTGATGAAAATGATAAAGAGATCAAGGCCTTACTTGCTGAAAAGTACCACCTTCACCGTGCTCATCAGAACGACCCATTGTCAACAGCTAAGAAAAATGCCTTCAACAACGCTTGCAGGACTGTACAGAGCAAGCTTTACAAGATGCAGAACTCCTGGTTGAGTGCCAAAGCAGATGAAATCCAGAAGTTTGCTGATAGAAACGATGCCAAACAGTTCTACGAAGACCTCAGATCCTTGCATGGACCTCAGCCCTCAGGGAGCTCCCCTTTACTGGATTCAGATGGTACAACTCTTATTACTGAAAAGGCTCTGATTCTACAGCACTGGGCTGAGCACTTCCAATCCGTACTGAACCGCCCTTCCTCCATCAATAACGAGGCGATTCACAGAATGCCCCAGGTGGATATCAACCATCAACCACAGCCTGGACATCTCACCATCAAAGACTGAAACCCTACAGGCCATCAGCCAGCTGTCCAGTGGCAAGGCCCCAGGATTTGACGCAATCCCAGTGGAAGTCTATAAGGAAGGTGGTGCAGTGCTTGTCGACAAACTCACTCAGCTATTCCAGTCCTTCTGGAGTCAAGGCTCCATTCCTCAGGAACTGAAAGACGTGTCCATCGTACACCTCTACAAGATGAAAGGAAATCAACAAGTCTGTGATAATCATAGAGGAATATCACTGCTCTCCATCGCAGGCAAGATCCTTGCACACGTGTTGCTGAATCACCTGACTGACCATCTGGAACAGGGTCTACTACCCAAGACACAGTGTGGCTTCCGCAAAGAGCGTGGCACTGTGGACATGATCTTCGCAGCCCGACAGCTCCAAGAGAAGTGTCAAGAGCAGAATCGTGAACTGTATACCATCTTTGTGGATATCACCAAGGCTTCTGACACTGAGTCAGTTCCACGACGACATGACAGTTCGTGTTTTGGACGATGGAGTAGCTTCAGAGGGCTTTCCCGTTACAAACGGCGTCAAGCAAGGGTGCGTGCTGGCACCGACTCTGTTCAGCATAATGTTTTCAGCCATGCTGACAGACACCTTTCAGAACAACTCCTTGGGAGTCAGCCTGAAATACAGGACTGATAGGAAATTGTTCAACCTGCGAAGACTCCAGGCTGTCACCAAGATAAAGGAGACTGTGCTACGAAACCTCCTTTTTGCTGACGACTGTGCCCTGCAAGGACAAATTCGCAGCAGCATGCGACAACTTCGGCCTCCTCATCAACACAGAGAAAACCAAAGTGATGCATCAGCCAGCTCCGAAAGCCCAACACCAAGAGCCCACCATCACAGTGAAGGGACAAAAGCTGCAAGCAGTGGACCAATTTACATACCTTGGCAGCACCCTTTCCCACACAGTGACAATTGGATGGCTCATGAAGACAACATTGGTCTACTGAGTTTTTCATAGTTAATACTGCTCTGATTTTACTATTCCTATAGTAAACTTCTATACACCTTTTATTTAAAAAAAATGTACATTGCCTCAAATGTTCATTTGAGTAGGAAGATTAGATAGATGTTAGCATTCAGTCAGAGAGCCAATGGTAACCTAAACCCTTACTTTTAATTTTGCAGGCAACAAAGCCTGTATTTGCTCAATTCCACAAAACATGCTGAGAAATAAAAAACATGAAAATTGTAGTTATAAGTGGCCGCTCCTTCATAAATGAAAAATTATATTCATTTAGAGACTTTGAACACATTAACTTGACATTAACATTGTGCTTAAGTACACAATGCCCTCTTTAGTTTTTGCTTTTCAGCAGGCAGTCCCAGTGGTACTGAGCCAAAAAGGGTTAGGAGCCTACTGTGTAATTCCAGACACGTGACCTCAGCTGACTGGATTTGGGTTAAAGATTTTGAGCATTCCTACAGGGACTTAACTGTATTTTACCACATTATTCTTTAACTGCTTCGTTCTCAATCACACTAGAATACAATAACAAATAACAACAGGCAACAGTGTCAATATTATTTAGCAAAATAATCACATAAATAAGATGATAAAAATATACCTGGTGGACTCTACTAACATTTTCCATAAAAAACATTTTAAGGAATTACAGTCTGTTAGAAAAAAGATAATTTACATCTCACAGTAGTGCTGGCCAGTTATGGTTATACTCATTCTATGCAAAGGGCAATTATAATGTGTACTCTGGGCAGAGCAACATTTAAATTTACAAACCATAAAACAATCTTAATTTACTTTCTTCCACTCTGCAAATATAACAGCAGAGGTCCAGAAATCTGGTGACCAATGATGATCTGCAAGCACTTTCTATTGACATTGTGCCCAGACCTGCAGCATAAAGAGAAAAACACCCTCTTCTTATGTGTACTTTGTGCATTGCAGTTAACTTGGAAAGGGGGCAGTCTCTGATTGCTGCACTTAAAGAGCAAGGTCCAGACATACAGATGCAGACAGATGTATGTACATACACATGCTTTTTAAGAGGAATCAGTCCCACTTCATATCAACCTCAGAAGATATTCATAAGCAGTAAGAGAAACACAGCAAGAAATTATTGCTGCTGCTCCCATCTCCAACATCTGATGCAAAATAGATCAACTCAGCCCCTCTCTTGAATGTACCAGAGGGAGGGGCTGAATTAATCCAAGTTGGAAAAGTGTTCAAGAGGAATTAATGCTTTATTTGTTTATTTATTGGTAGTTCTGGTGCACACTGCAAGCCTTCCCCTACCCTCACAACATGACAAATACTTCTATGTCCAAAGTGAATCATAGCAATATCCATAATAATTTTTAAAATATAAACAACTTGTTTTTGTTACTGCTATTAGAGTGATACACTGCTATTATCCAGGAAAAAAGGCTTGAACGACAAAAGCAACAAAATATTGAAAAATACAGATATTCCTTATACAGTGGTACCTTGGCTCACGAACTTAATCCATTCCACAACTCTGGTTGTGACCCAAGTCAAATTTCCCCATAAGATTCAATGTAAATAAGGTTAATCCATTCTGGCCCCTCCGAATGTGGTTGTGAGGCAGTTTTTGGTCACGAGCCAAGTCAATTTTCCCCATAAGGTTCAATGTAAATAAGGTTAATCCGTTCTGTAACTATTTTTTTAATCAGAAATTTTGAAACAAAGTGACAAAGAGTAACAAAGTACTGTACAGTACACTAACCTAGGTGTGGGGGGAGGTTATTGTTTTGAGGGAGAGTCCCGCTCCATAAGGACATTGGGGAGAACTCTTTCAGGGGTTTCCTCTCTTTGTGTCTTAGCTGCAGGGTCAATTTTGGTGAAAAATGTGTCTATAATCACTTGTTTTTTCCTGTGCTGCAAAACCCTCTGGAAATGAGAGACCACGTTATTGTTCATCAGATTCAACACTCTGTTCTTTACATTTATGTCGGGGTGGTGCTTCTCAAAGAAACCCTGGCATGGGCGCACTCCTGCAGGAAAGATGGGCACAATCTCAGCCATCTCCCCCCCCCCAACCAGCACGATTGTGGCCATCTCTCCACCCCCCACCCCCCAAGTGGGGAGATGGCCAGGATCGCAGTTGTGTTCGTGCAGGGAAGACGTGCGTGATCACAGGTGTGCTCCTGCAGGAAAGACGGGCGCAGAACAGCACAGCACAGCCATGATCATGCAAGTGTTCCCTTAACGAAGACGACTGTGTTCGTGGTCATCTCCCCACTTGGGGGGTGGGGAGATGGCTGTGATCTTGGTCACCACCCAAAGCGGAGTTCGTGACCGAAGTAAAAATTTTCATGAAATTTTTGTTCATGACCCAAGGCGTTCGTGACCCAAGGCATTTGTGAGCCAAGGTGCCACTGAAGTTGAAATATTTGTTGAAACATACAGGCTTGACACAGTGGGCTACACAAAGTTAGTCTTAGAGGAGATTTACTGAAATGAAAAGGACGTAAGTTAGGATTTACTCATTTAAGCCCCATTCATTTTAAACTTTGGGTAAGACTAACATTGGATAGAACCCCTTTTTGGACTTAAAAATGTAGAACTTCATCTGTCATTCATGTCTTACTAGCTGCAAATCTAAAGGTAACATTCATGAAGATTCAGATAAAAATGAAAGTCAGACCATTTCAAGATCTAAAGCATCAAAACTTGCCTATGGTACTCTCTTAAAGTGTGGGTGGCACCTCTGGAACCAGCAGCTTTGAGCCAGGATCCTCCCTAGCAACATGTGAGTGAAAATAGATAGTATCATGGTACTGAGTCATGTTTGAGAAATATGGTCACCAGTGACATCCACAAACTAAATCTTGGGAACTGGCAGAGGAAGCTGCCAGGTGTGACATATTTATTACAACCAATAATAGAATGAGGCAGAAAGCATTGGAATTGCCACCAGTCTTATTCTCCTTTTACCAAACAGATCAGGAAAAAGCCTTTTTAACTAAAGTGTTTATTATGTTAAAGTTGGCTGCCTAGATTTGCCATAGCTTTCCCCCACAGGAGCAAGCATCTTTTAATTTCTGCCTACACTGCAACTGGGAAAACCATAGCCATGACTGCACTTTTGTTGGCAGGGTGATGTCTCTGCTTTTTAGTATGCTGTCTAGATTTGCCATAGCTTTCCCCCACAGGAGCAAGCATCTTTTAATTTCTGCCTACATTGCAACTGGGAAAACCATAGCCATGACTGCACTTTTGTTGGCAGGGTGATGTCTCTGCTTTTTAGTATGCTGTCTAAATTTGCCATAGCTTTCCCCCACAGGAGCAAGCATCTTTTAATTTCTTGGCTACAGTCACTGTCTGCGGTGATCTTGGAGCCCAGGAAAATAAAATCTGTCACTACCTCCATTTCTTCCCCATCTATTTGCCAGGAAGTGAGAGGACCGGAAGCCATGATCTTAGTTTTCTTAATGTTGAGTTTCAAGCCAGCTTTTGCACTCTCTTCCTTCACCCGCATGAAGAGGCTCTTTAGTTCCTCTTCACTTTCTGCCATGAGAGTGGTATCATCTGCATATCTGAGGTTGTTGATATTTCTCCCGGCGATCATAATTCCAACTGGTGATTCATCTAGCCCCGCCTTTCTCATGATGTGCTCTGCATGTAAGTTAAATAGGCAGGGCGACAGTATACAGCCTTGCCGAACTCCTTTCTCAATTTTGAACCAGTGGTTCCATGTCCAGTTCTCACTGTTGCTTCTTGACCCACATAAAGTGATACCTCGGCTCACTGGTGCTGCTGCACTAAAGACAGGTGCAGCAAAGTAGAGCCGCGAATCTGCTTGTCATTCATGCAGCCACGCACCTCTGATCACGGATCACAGTTGCTTTCGTGCAGGGAAGGCATAGTTATCAGAGGTGTGTGGCTGCAGGAAAGACAGGAGCAGCAAAGGAGAGCCACGGGGGAGATGGTTGAGATTCTGCCTGTCTTTCCTGCAGGAGCACGCCTCTGATCAGGTACACCTTCCCTGCACGAACGGAACTGTGATCTAGGCCATCTCCCCACCCCCAGTGCACTGTTTGCGCCCATCTCTCCCTCCCCCAATGCGCCCACGATCACACCTGTCTCTCCCCCCCCACCCCCCAGCGCACTGGGATGATAGGCGCCTGCAGGGATGACAGGTGCGATCTCAGTCGTGCTGTAGGGGCGGGGAGATGGCTGCACTTGTGCTTGGAGTGGGGCGGGGGGGATGGCCATGATCTTTGTTGTTGTCACTTTGCTTCACATTTTTCTGATTTAAAAAATAGCTACAGAACGGATTAACCTTATTTACATTGAACCTTATGGGGAAATTTGACTTGGCTCATGACCAATTTGGCTCACGACTAGAGTCCTGGAATGGATTAAGTTTGTCAGCCAAGGTACCACTGTATAGACAAATAAAATGGTCTGGTACCATCTCTTTAAGAACTTGCCACAATTTGTTGTGATTCACACAATCAAAGGCTTTAGCATAGTCAATGAAGCAGAAGTAGATGTTTTTCTGGAACTCCCTAGCTTTCTCCATGATCCAGCATATGTTGGCAATTTGATCTCTCGTTCCTCTCCCTCTTCGAAATCCTACCTGTACTTCTGGTAGTTCTCGGTTCACATACTGCTGGAGCCTAGCTTGTAGTATTTTGAGCATAACTTTGCTAGCATGTGAAATGAGTGCAATGATGCGGTAATTTGAATATTCTTTGGCATTACCCTTCTTTGGGATCGGAATGTAAATTGACCTTTTCCAATCCTGTGGCTACTGTTGAGTTTTCCAAATTTGCTAGCATATTGAGTGTAGTCCTTTTACTGCATCGTCTTTTGGGATTTTGAATAGCTCAGCTGGAATACTGTCTCCTCCACTAGCTTTGTTGTTGCTCAGACTTCCTAAGGCCCATTTGACTTCACGTTCCAGAATGTCTGGCTCGAGGTCAGTGACTTCCCCACTGTGGTTATCAGGGATGTTAAGCACTTTCTTAGGGGTTTTCATGGCAAGGATACTGGAGTAGGTTGCCATATCCTTCTCCAGTGGATCAACTTTTGTCACAGCTCTCTGCTATGACCTGTCCATCTTGGGTGCTCCTGCATGGCACAGCTCATAGCTTCCTTGAGCTACACAAGCCCCTTTGCCATGACAAGGTAGTGATCCATGAAAGAGCACGTTTTTATATACATAGGTAAGTATATTACAGTAAAAGCCTAATTATAAGGGCTAATTCTGACAGTATTCTTCAAGTACTACTTTTAAGTAATATTGAGGAAGGTAGAAGAATAAACTTTTTTTTACACAGTAGCATATAAAACATACTAGTAATCACTAGAGGCTATTTAAGCCTTAGTCTTCAGTGATGCAATAAAGTTGCATCTGGGTTGTACCACTGCAGATGCAGACTCACAGGATTAAATGTGTTATTTAAAAAAGGCCTAGCATTTAGAAAACTAAATTTCATCAAATCTTCTCCTTTGCATTCCAGCTGCTTAAATTTAGGAATACTTTCTGTAAATGACCTTTTAAATCCTGTGACCCCTCATATACAGTTTCAGCCATTGGTTTATTGTCACACAGAATGGCCTAGGCCCACGTTTCCAGTCAGTCCGTACATACCATTTTATTCCAACAGAATCAAGGTCTATTAACCCATTTCAGAAAAAGAAATTATAACAATTGAGTGGCTATAAGACAGAATGCTAAAGAGTAATCTTTCCTTCTATCTTAATTACCTATTCAGAATCTGACTCATGCAGCAGAAAACTAGTCTGTCACTTATATCAGATCGCACACTTGTAGCCTGAACATACGACAAAAACTTGCACAGGAATTCCCAAACAATGAGTACTGTCACGGCCTGTTTACTTCCTTACACACATTTTTAATTCACTTAATAGATTGTCAGCAACAAAAATTGATTTAGTCTCTAGTAACAAGGAAAATGTGAAAAACAAACCCTTCCTAGGTAGTTTGCTCCATTTCTGAGCAGCTTCATACCAAAAACTCACAAACTGAGAGGATATGAATGCATTATGTATACTACTGACTTGCAGATAGGAAGAAAACCTGAAATCCATACCTCTGCACAAATGTAAACAGAATACTGTTCATTATGAAATCCTATATTCAAGTTAGAGCCCACATTAGTAAACTCCATCATGCTATGATTATTCAAGGCTCTATAACCCAACCCTGTCTATTTGCAAGAAAGTATTTAATATTGTTATATTTATATCTCCTTCAACTAAACTTTTAAGGAAATATAATCAAATTGCTGTGACATTTCCCAAGGAAATTACAAGCTTTGTGGACCAATGCATTGTTGAAGCATTGTAACCTGAAGTGAGAATTATGGGAAACAAAACTAATACTTATATCCAGTTCATCTCACTTAAACCAAGTCACTCCAAAGCCATAAACCCTTCTTTTTGGTACAGTCTTTACATGAGGCTTCAGTCCCGAATATTCTGTTAGTGACAACAGGCAAAAACTCTGCCTCACTGCATGAGTTCCCACCCTCCTTGCCCAATCTTTAAATATCCTGTAAAACATTTAATTTGATATCACCACAGATACATTCTGTGTGATCCATGGATCTTATTTAATTTCTAATCAGAGAAGAACTCATAGGCTGCTTCCCCAGGATACCAAGTATGATAAACAATTTTATTTAGCTCAACATTTATTGAATATTTGTGACAATATTTATTGAAGTATTTCATTGCTCTTGTCCCTCAAAGTTCAATCATTTCTAAAGGCTATATAGTGTATTTAACTACATATTGAATAGATTGATATGATAGTAGACATTAGTATGAATTATTAAATGAAAAGCTGCCCAAGTCACTCACTTGTATGTTTTACGAAGAGTGTTTAATCTTTATCACTGTAGCTGAAGGAACAGTCTGGTATACTCAGCTGAAGAGACCATCAATATTTCATTGCATCCACTAAGAAAGACTCTTCACAATGTAATTTCTCTCCTGACCATTTCCTAACCATTTGAGAACTGCTTTTGCATCTACATTTGAAGGGCTATCATTGAGAGATATTTAAACAATATGAAAATATTACAAACTAAGAATTATCCATTTTAAGAAAGAACAAAATAACTGATTTCTCCATTTTGAAGGAGAAAGAAACTATTATTAAAGTTGAAGGCCTAAGATATTTTTGAAAAAGAAAAATCCTCTACAGAACACAGTTTAACTTTTGATTGCATTATTAATCACAATTGCATACTTACTTTTCACCTTGGTTAACGGAAGTTATAAAGCCAAAGAGTATAATTAAACATTTAACAACTTGTTTACTAGCAAAAAAAAAAGTAACACTTGAATTTAATAGCAGGAAAAAGCTGTTTTCTTTTAAAGGAGTATGAACATATGAATATTCCTAACCTGTAAAATGATTCCTCCACATTATATCAGCGAAACTCATTGGTGGGCCACTGGGAGGGTAGTGTTTACCTTTAAGAGGCTCATGATCAGTCCTTATCATATCCATTAATGAGTTTTCCAAAGAGTGCAAGTTAAAAGTATCATAGGGCCGATTCCGGTCCTAGGAAAAAGCAAAAAATAAAAGGTCTGTTACAAAGACATAACTAAATAAAGCAGACACTTCTTAACACTTATTCCACTCACCACAAAGTACAGTAACATTAGCAAACAAGGCAAACTTCATACCTAAGTCCTAGTCCTTCAGAGAATATTGAACAAATGAAGAGCAAGTTCTGATTACTCCATAAATGCAACCTTACAACAAGCATAAATGCAGTATACAATTTTGACCTGACAGACTTTAGGCAAGTGACTAACCAAAATTCTGTAGAATGCCACAATCATTGTTGGAATAGAAACATCATTAACCCTGCTTTGCTATCACAAAATTAGAAGGTAAGGGCCAAATCATGAAGTCCAACTCAACACCCAGAACAGAAATTTTTCACATATTCCTCCTATTTCCCCACAGATTGTGTTATCAAGATATTATCCTAGAGTGCTAACCAGGCTGCAGACGGATTGAACAACTGAGACAAAAATTCTGTGAAGCTGCTCTTACTTAAACTTGACCTAGAAAGGGGCCAGAGAGACTATTAAACCCCATGATCATATCAGCTTGTGCAAAGGTGTGAGGTTTTGAATCCTGCATGCCCTAAAACTGTAGTACCCCATCAACAAACATCAAATGCTATTCCAGAGGAGCCAGAGTCGGCTACAACAAAAAGGAGGTAGGATATCTCCAAGTAGATGGTGCTTGCAGTTCTTACAATATGAGTCACCATTTAGAAAAGAAGCCTTCATTTTGCTTTAATTACACTGCTCAGATGTTTAACCAAGGTAAATTTTTACATTCCCAAGGATCTTGCTAAACAGAAGTAAGAGTAGAAGGGGAAGGGGAAGAGTCAGCCTAACTCAGGAACAATAGTCTTTGAAAATACAGTGGAACCTCGGCTCACAAACACCTTGGTTCATGACCAAATCGAGTCGCGAACAAAAATTTCATGAAAATTTTGACTTGGGTCGTGGACTCCACATTGGAGTGGGGAGATGGCCATGATCGTAGTTGTGTTCGTGCAGGGAAGACATGCGTGATCAAGGGTGCACTCCTGCAGGAAAGATGGGTGCAATCTTGGCCATCTCCCCCGCAAATCTCCCCCGCCCCCAGTAACTATACAAAAAACAAGTGACTATAGACACATTTTTCACCAAAATTGACCCTGCAGCTAAGAGACAAAGAAGAGAGGAAACCCCTGAAAGAGATCTCCCCAATGTCCTTATGGAGGGGGACTCGCCCTCAAAACAATAACCTCCCCCCACACCTAGGTTAGTGTTCTCCACTGTACTGTACTTTGTTACTATGTTGTCCTTTGTCACCTTGTTTCAAATTTTTCTGATTTAAAAAAATAGTTACAGAACAGATTAACCTTATTTACATTGAACCTTATGGGGAAATTTGACTTGGCTCACAACCAAAAGCTGGCTCACAACCACATTCGGAGGGGCCAGAACGGATTAACCTTATTTACATTGACTCTTATGGGGAAATTTGACTTGGGTCACAACCAATTTGGGTCACAACCAGAGTTGTGGAATGGATTAAGTTCGTGAGCCAAGGTACCACTGTATTACCTTTGCACCCAAGGAAAGGTTCTGCACTTCCTGCTTACAAAATCAGGAAATTATTCTGACACAAAACCCTTGCAAGATTTTGCAAACAATTTAAGATGAAATATTGATAAAAATACAATAATAATCTCTTGAAATCCTTGCCAGGTTCAGCTTATTTTTCAGTGGTAGCACACATTGCACATAGAATCAAGTATTAATCCTTGCCTGAGAACCTTTGATACTTTTTTCAGAAACCACTTAAAATTAAATCTCCAAAGAGTCTCTTCTTCCTAGTAAATACTTGTATTGATTTTTTAATATTATCTTTTTCTTATGATTACCCAGATTAACCTATAAAATATTGAAAAGCAACTTAATTTATGCCATAACCCAAACACAGCTTCTTAAATTAACACCTACTATTCATTTCAGAGGATTGTATTTCATATGTACTCAAACTGGTAGTCTAACAGACTGATTCTATTGATGATTGCTCTGCTTTCAAATATTTAAGAACAGGCTTTTTGTACTGGCAAAATGTTGCATTACACCAGTTGGGTGGAAGCCTGGATCAAAAAGTATACCTAGAAGAATGCTATGTGCTCTTGGATTATTCCAAGAGAATGTACCACTGCCATCTAAGAACTCTAGCATGGCATACAAAATATCTTTATCCTTTTTCACTACAGGGACTTTGCCAATTTTTTCTCTATAAAAGCATGAATTTACATGTTTCATGAGGATTATGATTTTCCCGCTCCTCAGACCTCAAAGAAGCTTGGGACTATCCCATCATATTCTTACTTGTACATGGGCAGCTCAACATACACAATTGAATTCCATGACTTAATAGGAATGTCTACATCATCTTCCTAGTGAAGTCCACAACTACCCATGTAACTTGACATGCTTAAATATTGCAGTAAGCTTACCAAGCACCTTTAAGATAGGTCACTGGGACCTGCAACAAAGGGTTGCAATGCATCTCTACTTTCTAATAAGAGTGCACCTGTTAAGGGTTACAGCCAGTCATACCCCACTCCAGTAAGCCATTTTGTTCCTCTCCATCTGAATTTTCAGTTTCATTTTCAACTAATGGTCAATATTTTGTGGCTACTGAGCAAACTCAGCCTTGAAATACTTTTTTCTGTTCCTTACATTTATTTTTATATTTATGTGAACCTCAGGGTTCACATGCAGGTATCTCATTTACCCAAGTTCACTCATCACCCAACTTCACTACTAGAGATAGCAATTGCAGCAGCAGGAAAAGGAGGGACATAGGGTAGAAGCTTGCTAAATAATTGGTAATATTTCAGACACCTTACATGAAAATACAACATTCAATAATAAGGTCTATTATAATTACTCTCTTAAAAACAGAAAAGTGATTCAACAGTTTGATTCACATTTGAATAATAATTAACAGGAATGGAACCAATATTCAATATTCAAATCCTTGGCAGTTTCTACACCCTTACACTCCTGCTTGTATTCTAGCAGAAAAAATGTAGGCATAGCCTTCCACAAACAGCAACCTTCATCTCAATTATTTTGCACCCTCAACTTTCCAGAAGCTGCTTTGCAATGATCAAAAAGTCCCTCACCTATGGGAAAGGTGAATGATGGGTTACCGTGCTTTTTGAATACAGGCACTCTTAGATAAGACTGATTATCTGAATCCATTTCAGTTGTTCAGCCTGGTTTGATTCAGAAAAATCCTTGGTCACCCTATATGATCGCCTATGCTAGGAATGAGACAGAGGAGTGAGACCCTGTTGATACTGCTGGACCTCTCAGTAGCTTTTGATACCATTGACCTTGGTATCCTTCTGGGGCAGCTGACTGAGTTGGGAGTGGGGGCAGGGAGGGCATTGCAGTGGTTTTGCTCCTACTTGGAAGGCCATCTGCAGGAGGTGGTGCTTGTGGAACACTGTTCAGCCCTAAGGGCTCTCCAGTATGGAGTTCCTAGGAGTATGTTCTGTCTACCTGCAATCACCAAATGGGGTCATCCAAAGTTTTGGAATGCATTGCCATGAGTATGCCAACACACACCTCACCTTTTCAGCATCAGCAGGTGAAACTGTAAGTGTGCTGAACTGGTGCCTGGCTACAACAATGGATTGGATGAGGGCCAATATGCTGAAATTCAATCCAGACAAGACTAAGATGCTTTTGGTGGGTGGTTCCTTTGACCAGATGGGGAGTGTTCAGCCTGTTCTAGGTGCAGTTGCACTTCCCCTTTACTTTTTAAAATCTATGTATTTATTGAATGGAGCTGGTATTTGACCGCAATAAAGTTTCTCTCTCCCCACCCCACCCTAAAGAGCAGGTTTGTAGCTGGGGAGGTATTCCTAGATCCATCTTTGTCACTTGAGGCTTGGGTGGCATTGGGGACTCAGAGTGTTTTCTACCAACTTCAGCTGGTGGCTCACCTACACCCCTATCTAGTCAGGGATAGCCTGGTTTCAGTAGTCTACATTCGGGTAATCTCTGAACTGGATTCTTGCAATACACTCTATGTGGGGCTGCCCTTAAGGATGGTTCAGAAGATTCAGCTGGTGCAGGATGCAGCAGCCAGAGTAATATCCAGGACCTGCAGCTCCTAACATATAAGACTGTGTCTGGCCTGCCTATATTGGTTGCATGTATGCTTCCAGTCCCAATTCAGGGTGCTAGTTTCAACCTATAAAGCCTTACATGCCTTAGGACCACAATACCTATTGGAGAGCCTCTCCCCACTGTGATTTACCCAGACACTATGCTCCACCTCCGTGGCCTTACTCCAAGTGCTAACTCCAAGGGAAGTGCAGAGGGTGGCAGCTACAGGGAGGACTTTCTTGGTGGTGCTCCCCCACTATAGTATAACCTCCCCACTATAGCCCAACAGGCACCAAATCTGTCATCTTTTTGGTGCCAGGTTAAGATGGCCCTCTTTTCTGAGGCTTTTAATGACTTACTCATCCACCCAGGGGCTTGAGGGGATTACCAGGTGTTTCACAGAGCCACTTTTTTGTTACTCCTTGATATTGTCTGTTTTTAGCTGTTTTGTACTTTTTATTTTTTTCAATTTTATGATATTTTATTGTATTTTATCATGCTTTTTTATGGACTGTGTAAACCACCCTGACTGCTTTGGCCATGGGGCAGTACAGAAATAAATAAAATCTAGCCGAACAAACAAACCTTTTTGTTAACCATGAACAACCCATGGTTTGTTGAGTTGTGAACTGTTGGTTGTTCAGTTAAATCATCCATGGTTTGTTATCTCCAGTGAATTCAGACATGATAACCTTATTTCAACAACTCACAGTTCAACAACAGCTGACACTCAATTCACACTTAACCCTTGAGTATCTATTATTTTGTTGTCTGAACCTATTCAATGTATTAATTTATCCTGTAGAAGCATATCCTCAGTATCTTTCCACCCTTTTAAAAGACAGCACAATGTATGAAATCCCTCCTTACTATATAACCACAGTGTGCCATGCCGGGGGGGGGGGGGGGAGAGAGAGCGCATATAAAGGGAGTAAAACTTCCTACATTGTAATTATTTGAGGGTCTCCCAACTGTAGAAACATTGGTCAAATGGGATAGTTACTTCATGGAATTAAGTACATAAGACTGTAAGAATTTTATTGAATCAGACCAAAGACCTATTTAGCACAGGATTCTGTTTACACAGTGATCAACAAGAAGGTCCTATGGGGATCGCACAAGTAGGACACTGGGAATAGCACTTTCCCACTCATGCCCACAGCAATGTGTGGGCACGCCTCTGATAATATATAGCCTTTAGGACTAATAATTACTGATAGCCTTACCCTCCACAAATTTGTCCAATCCCCTTTTACAGCCATCCATAGTTACAGTCATCATGACATCTTGTAGTACCAAATTCAGAAATGCGAATATGCACTTTATTTTAAAAAATGCCCCTTTAATGTTCTGAATCTCATACTATTCAGTTTCACAGGATGACCTTGGACTCCACTATTGTAAGGGAGGAAGAAAAATATATCTTCCTCCACACTATGCATAATTCTGTACACCTCAATCACGTCTCCATGTAACTTCTATCCACTTAACTATTCACTTAACATTAGTCTGTCTAATCTAAATACTGGGAGCAAGGAAAATTTCACTCTCTGGTAAGGTGGTAAGTATAGAAGGGCATTTAATACTAATTACTCAATTCATAATAATGAGAATACTAACCTTGTTTCAGCTAAGAGGAAACTGGGATAAGGAGTAAAAGGAACTCAAATTGAAATTTCAACCTATTTCAGATTTCCTTCACTGAGTAGATTCAGATTTCAGATGTAGACATAGCTAGATCTAGACACATTTATTTTTAATTCAACTGGCAATTTAAAGCAACAGAAGAAGAGGGGGTGGAATAGCTACCATACCAAAAATTATCAAATAAAAGAGAAAATGAGCTATGAATTCCTCTCTTGCAGATCTCAGAATAAAAAGATAATTCTCTAGGCTCTAAATCAGTTCCCCCGATTCCTAGGCCTTCGACCAGATCTTCCCCTTTCCACACTCATCTGGTCTTCCTAATTTTTGTAGGGGCCTTGGATTGCTGCCAATTCTGTGTTTCAGGTATTTTTAAAAAGTATTCAACCTTTCTTCTGGTACACATTTTACACAGTTTTGTAATAGAATAGTTGACCTACTTCAAAAACCCTGAAACCTACAGTTGAGCAAACTGAGTTTACCTAAACTCATGCTTCAAAGATGAGTGCCGTTTATGGCTGCAAGAGATTAAGGGCATTATAAACGCCTTTCCCTTTTTGCTGAACAAAAGAAGTAGAAATCATTGTTCTTGCTTTTATGACTACACTCTTGTGAATTATCTGCAGACTTTTTTTTTTACAATTGACTGAGCATTTACCAGTGGCATTTAAATTACAATTATATTTGGTTTAGCACTGGGCTTTAGATAAAAATCTGCTCACACATTCTGGCTTAGGAATTTAATTTTTTATAGTGAACTGGCACTTTTTCTTCTGTTGACTAAACTGGTACAAAATTCTCGTATATTTAAATAATTAAGAGGATCACCACCACTTACAGAAAACCAAAAGGCAAGGGAAAATTCTTCTCAATTTGCATATTCCTGAACTATGAAATAGACTGGCTTGAAAAAGCTTTTTTTATGATGGTGAAGTTATGGTCCCTGTTTCTGGCAAAAGCTCTTAATCTGCTGCAGCAGCATTCATCACAGCCAAGGCAAAAAGTTACTGGGCAGCACTTTAATGAGTGCCACTCACTGGTTTTTATATGGATGAAAAAATAGAAAGGACTAATGATGGGGATGAGTTGGAAGATGATTTACCACCCTAATGGTCATTGGCCACCACAAAGGTAAATATAGCAAGATTCTGACCATTCACTGTGCCTGTCATAGTGATCTCATGCTGCTATTTTATAGACTTCAATTGTCTGATCTCAGCTCTATATAGTCCTGAAACTATGAATATTCATGTGTACCAACAAACAATAGTTCCCATCTCATGGAAAAACAGTCCAAACAATACCATCCCTTGCTTCTGAAAAAAAAAAATCTAGACTTTTACATATCAGTTAAATTGTCTTGCTCAGTGGCCCTGCAATGTATATAAAGTTGAATGCAGAAACTCATTCATTTAAGAAATGCCTCCTATATTCTAAACAGAAAGAAAACTCCACTTTAACTAGGCTAAGCAAAGGTTTAAGGGTATCTGTAAAAAACATAAGTTTGGAGCAAGTTAAAAAGCAAAAAACAGAATACAGGTAAACCTATGCCAACCAGCCACTTAGGTGTCTTCATCTCCTTCGCCTGCAAGTGCTTCTGTCCAGTTGGGTTTCTTTTTGGTTTCTATCATAGTGTGATAGAGGGTAAAATGCTATAAGGGGACAAAGAGCAAAGTAAAATAAAAGTACAGTGGTACCTTGACTCACAAACTTAATCCATTACAGGACTCTGGTCGCGACCCAAAATGGTCGTGAGCCAAGTCAAATTTCCCCATAAGGTTCAATGTAAATAAGGTTAATCCATTCTTTTTTAATCACAAAAATCTGAAACAAAGTGACAAAGAACAAAGTAACAAAGAACAACAAAGATCGTGGCCATCTCTCCCCTCCCCCCCCGCCCCGAGCATGACCGTGATCATGCCTGATGTGGAGTTCGCAACCTGAGGCAATTTTTTTCTGAAATTTTTGTTTGCTACCCAATTTGGTCATGAACTGAGGCAAAGAACCACTGTACTAACTTCATCATTTATATACCAGTTTTACTCTTCCAACCAAAAGCTCACATATGTTTATACCTAGGTATGTATAGATTTACCTGAAACTATTCTATGTTACAAATAATCAGGTGTTTTTCATGCTGGTGTCTACTCACTGATGGAATTTTCTTACCAGTCTTTTGTCCTGCTGCTGTTGTTATGTGCCGCCAAATCATCTCATATGGCAACCCTATGAATAAAAGCCCTCCAAAATGTCCTATCCATTACATCCCCACTTAGCTGGTCTAAATTCAAGGCTGTGGCTTTCTTTATGGATTCACTCTCTCTTATTTGCCTTCCTTTTCTTCTTCTGCCTTTATCTTTCCTAGCAAGATTGCCTTCTCTAGCAAGTCTTGCCTTCGCATGATGTGTCCAAAGTATGACACCTTCAGTTTTGTCATTTTTGCTTCTAGGTAAAGCTCTGGCTTGATTTCATCTAGGCCCCACTTGTTCATCTTTCTGTTAGTCCAGAAGATCTGCAAAGCTCTCCTCCAGCACCATGTGTCATATGCATTCATTTTCTTCCTCTCAGTTTTTTGTTCACTGCCTAGATTGTGATAAGGAAATACAATAGCTAGGATGATCTTGGCCTTGGTCTCCAGTGAAACATCCTGCCATTGCATGGGCTCAGTGCCCACAAACCCTATTTTAGGGCCAGAGCAGTCATTGGTGGTGCCAACAGCACACACCAACAAGCAACACGCTAAGGGTGAGGCAACAATTCATCCCTTGTCTGCATCCCTTAGTTGCAGCCTGGGTTGTCCAGTGGCTCTCTTCCCCAAGACTTTGTTTTCCCTGAAGAAAGAGGGTATACAGCCTTGAGTATCAATAGTGTAGGTAGGACAAGCTGGAGTGAATAGACATAAGGGCAGCCAGGGTGTAGGCTATGCTGGACTAGGAGGGAGGGCCATGGCAGGAGTGTTGCAATTATTTATGGCACCTGAACCATGTTTGCCTACCTCCCCCAGGAGGAGCCAGGATACACTTGTGCTAAGTGCAAATTGGTGTCCCTCCTCGAGGAGGAAGTGAAGGGTCAAGAGGACACCATTGTCTCCCTCTGGGAGTTAAGGGAAGAGGAGCAGTCCCTAGACACTGCCCAAGAGGACCTCCAGGTCAACTGGGAACAGCCCCATTCCAGACAGGAAGACAAGGGATGGGACACCAGGGAACCAGCCAAGGACACCTGCCACAGAGCTGAGGCTGAGAAACTGGTTTTCTCTGCTTGTGCAGGCTGAGGCAACAGGTCCCTCGGGACCAGGAAGACCAGCTAGGGGTCAAGCTTGGTCTGGGGCAGCTGCTGGAAAGGCGGCTGCTGAGACATGGCCCCTTATTTCCACAGGAAGAAGGGAAAGACAAATTATTATCATTGGGGACTCCTTACTAAGGGGTACGGAGGTGGTGGTGTGCCAGCTGGATCTAGAGGTGAGGGAAGTCTGTTGTCTGCCAGGCACATGCATCTGGAGTGTGATGGACAGACTGGTGTGTCTTCTTTCCTTAGAGGGTCAACTGCCACTTATGGTGATCCATGTGGGGAAGAACAACACAGCCAGGTGGGGGCTGGGAGAGATCACTCAGGACTTTAAGACTATGGACAGGAAATGCAAAGGCCTGAAAGTCCAAGTGGCCTTTTCGTCACACTTGCTGGTCCGTGGACATGGACCAACCAGGGAAAGGAGGGTTGGAAACAAATGACTGGCTGAAGGTGTGCTGTTGGAGGGAATGCACTGGGTTCCTCAACCATGGCAGCTGGTACCTTGCCAAGTGATATCTGGTGAGGGATGGAATTCACCTCACCAGGCTGGGGGAAAAGACCTTTAGAAATGTTCTAGTGAGCTATGTCCAGAGGGATTCAAACTAATCCCAGAGGAGAGGATATCCCAGAGGAGGAACACAGTTATAATGGAAGATTTCAACCTCCCTGATATTAGTTTGGGAGATTCACTCAGTAATAACGGCTAGGTCCTGTCACTTCCTGGAAGCGAAGGAGGGAGGGCTTTTCACCCAGAGGGTCTGGAAAGCAACAAGGGGGTGCGGGGGGGCATCCTAGACCTGGTTTTGTCTAACGGGGATTTGGTGGATGATGTGCAAAACTAGGGAAGCTCTGGATGGAAGTGACCACTCAATCCTATACTTTGAGATTAGGAAGTCAGGGATGAGCAGTAGGTCATGTACTCGGAGATGGGCCTTCACGAGGGCCAACTTTGGTCAGTTGAAGGCCAGGTTGGGAAAAGTATCCTAGGAGAAAGTACTGCAGGAGGGGTGGATGGCACTAAAAAGGGAGGCCTTGGAGGCGCAAGCCTTAATGATACTGCAGATCAGCAAAGTGGGAAGGGGTAAGAGAGTGCTGTTGTAGATGTGAAGAGAAGTCGTAAGACTGATTAGAAGTAAAAGGGACCTCTACAGAAAATGAACATTAGGGCAAGTGCACAAAAAGGCATACCAAGAGGTGGCTTCATGCAGAAAGACTCTTTGCAAAGCTAAAGCTAATTATGAGCTGAGACTTGCAAAGAATGTGAAGGACAACAAAAAAGTATTTTATTCTTATGTAAATAGGAAGAGGAAGGGGAGACAGGCATTGGGGTTGCTTAAAAGAGAGGGAGGGGATCTGGTAACTGATCTAGGGGAACAGGCAGAGATGTTAAATGATTTGGCTTCGGTATTCTCCCCAAAGCAGGTTGGGGCAGATGTGCCTGGGGGGGCAGATGAGGTTGGGGTTTTGGAGGCACAGATTAGAGTCATTCCCCTTGAAGCTAAGGAGCTCTTTAGGGCCCTGGACATTATGAAGAAGTCAGCTCCTGATGGGTTATACCCAAGGTTATTTTGGGAATTGGCAGAGTACTCTCATATCCATTGGCCTCAATTTTGAGGCCTTGTGGATAACAGAAGTACTGATGGATTGGAGGGTAATGGTCTCAATCATCAAAAGGGTAGCAGAGGAGACAAGGAGAATTACAGGCCAGTTAGACTGTGGTGAATGTGGTTTACCTCGATTTCAGCAGGGCCTTTGACAAGCTCCAATGATATCCTGGTTGAGAAATTGATGAACTTCAGGATAGATCAATGCACAGTGTGATGGATTGGGGCATGGCTGACAGTCCACAAGCAGAGGGTAACTATCAGTGAGGAGTCATCAGGATGGCAGCCAGTGATGAGTAGAGTCCCTCAGTACTCAGTCCTGGGACCAATTCTGTTCAAACTTTTTATGCACGATCTGGACGAGGGGGTAACCAGTCTGCTGACCAAATGTGCAGATGATACCAAAGTGAGAGTGGTGACTACAATGGAGGACCATGCACTCCAGATCCAAAAGAATCTGGACAGACTGTGGAAGTGGGCGGGGATAACAGTTGGCATTCAATTCAGATAAGTACAAAGTCTTGCACTTGAGACTCAGGAATAGGTGCCAAAAGTACAGGATGAAGGACAAGTGGCTGGAGAAGGGCACTTGTAAAAGGAATTATCAGGTACTTATTGAGAGCAAGCTTAACATGAGCCAGCAGTGTGACATGGCAGTTAAGAGAGCAAATGCCACCCTTGGACGTATAGCCAAAGGCGTGGCTTCCAGATCAGGCGAGGTTCTGGTACACCCACAACTGGAGTACTTTGCCCAAATCTGGGCTCCACATTATGAGAGGGACATAGCAAGGTTAGAATCAGTTCAGCATAGGGTCACATGGATGGTAGCTGGATTGGAGCGGGAATGCCACATGAGATGAGATTGAGGGAACTGGGGCTTTTCAGCTTGGAGAAGAGGAGACTTTGAGGGGATTTTATAGTGACTTACAAGTATGTGAAGGGATGTCACAAGGTAGAGGGTTGTGACCTATTCTCCCCTGCAGTGGAGGGAAGGACATGATCCAATGGGGCAAAGCTAAAGTAACCGGAGTTTAGGTTGAATGTCAGGAAGTACTTACTGATGGTTAGTATCCCTAGAATATGGAATGGGCTTCCACAAGAGGTGAGGGCATTCAAGGAAAATTGGACACCCACATGTTGGACATTATATGAGTTGAGCTGCTTTGTGCCAGGGGCTAGACTAGAAGGCCCAGGAGGTCTCTTTTGACATTCTATCCCTTCTAGTTCCCTCAATGCTGCCCTTCCAAGTTTCAGTCTACTTGGAATTTCTTGGCTGAAGTCTCCATTTGAATCAATGCTTAGCCAAGGTGTCCTACTTCTGCCAATTCACATTAGCACTGAAGTGAATTAGAACAAATTTCCAACCCCTTTCCCCAGTGAAAAACCTGTCCGCACAGCTGTAGAATCTACATGATTGGCTGCTCCATAAAACACAGGTTAGATTCATGGAAATCCAC